TGGGGCTGTGGGTTTGTGCCCAGAGAAGGCACCTCAGTGACCGTCCTGGGGACAGGGCTATTGGCAACTCCAAATGCAGGTGTTGGTCCCTGCTGTGGTCAGGGCCTGGTTATCTGGCCTGGCAGCCAAATCACTTTCAGTGAGATGTTGCCTGTGAGACCATCCCAAGCTAAAGAAAAAACTCACAAAGGTCAAATTTTTCTTTCAAACTCCAAGAGCTCCTTCAATCTCTAGAGCTACACTCAGAGCCCGGAGAAGTTTTGACATCTCTGAGGCACTTTGCTCCATTTCTTCTCCATCTCCATCTTCTCCATCCTGTTGACAACTGATGACATCTTGGTCGCAGGAGGAGTGAGGGTCCCCCCAGGACGGGGCGGCCCCATCTGCTCCTCAGGAAGCTCTCCTTCCAGCAACAGATGCTGTTGTTCTCCTGCACCATCAATCCCTTTCAGGAAGGGACACGGATTAGATGGGGGTAACACGTCTTAAGGTAATTTCTCTAAATGGCATTTTGCTGACTGGCTTTACTGTCAGTCGCTGACAGGGGGCTGTGATGCTTCAGCTCACTCTGCTGCCCCCGAGGCCCCATGTCACGGCACAGGTCTTGCTGCAAAACAGCGACAAGTCCCGTCTTTGGCCCAAAGCAGTTGGAGATGTGGGCAGCAGTGAGGCCCACTGAGGTGCTGAGAATTCTCACAGGTAACAGGACCTCTATGCAGAAGTACTACAATCAGTGCCTTCTTTAATAGTCCACCGGGCAAGCAGCCAAAGCTGTGGATCATGGGCAGAGCAGGTACCTGCTAGAGAGAGAGGGAGGCGATGACCCCTGGCAGCCACCCATCTAAATAAACACTACTGGGGCTGCATTTTCCATTAAAAATATTTAGGCAGAACGGTGCCATGGGCAAGTGAGAGGAGTGGAGTCCTGCTCTCAAGGCTTTCAAAGTAGAGAGGAGTTTTCCAACTCCAATTTTTTAAATTTTTTTTTTATCTCAAATTTCTGTGCATCCTGGCACAGAAGGGGTAACAAAAGGAGGTTTTCTGCTGGACCCAGCAGCATCTCGTCCAGACAGACCCGGCTGGGAACACAGGTGCTGAGTTAAAGGACGATCCTGTGCAAAATCTGTCCCCAAGCGTGATAACCATTTCAGACCTTCTCCAAGGAGGTGGTGGGGATGTCACAACCACATCTAAGGTGGACCTAGGTCCTGAATGGGGCTGCTGCCAGGGATTGGTCTGGCAGGACAGCAGCACCTCCATGCTTACAGTTAAATGCTCCTGTTCACAGGATTTTGGGCACATCTGGTGCCTTCTGCTCCTTCACAGGGCCCAGCTACTACAGCAGCTACTTGCATAATGCTGACCAGATGGTCTCACTGCCCTGCTGCCCTCCCCCTCCAATTATTGTTTGCTAAGATCTTGCTGCTTCTCCTGGACAAGAGACCTTCACTTGAGTCTCTGCATTACCTTGAGGTCTGAGGGAAATATATGGCCCACCTATAGGTAGTGCTCAACAAAGAGCTGCTGATTCCTTATGATTGATCTTCACATCAATGATGGTTTGTGATGGCCCTCATCCCCTGCTCTTCTCCTACCTCCACCTTGTAGCACATGTAGAGCTGATGTTTATTCCTATACCCTGCAAAAGACTCAGGAGTCCCTGTCTTCCAGCATCAGTTGGTGTCAGTTCACTTCAGATGAAGCTCAGTGTTTCTTGTTCTCCAGCTGTCCAAGATGCTAAACTTGCCTTTCAGGCAGGCCAGCAGCTCTGTGCACCCTGTTCTCTTGTTTCTTTCTGCAGAGGTTGCCCCAGTTTCTGTAGGGAGGGCAGAGACTCAGGAATATCCTGGATCACAAATCTGCCTTTCATCCTCATGATTCTATCCACAGAGGTCAGAACTGCTGCAATGGTCATGGAGTTGCTCCACAAGGCTTTTTTCCAGCTCCTGGATGGGTTTCCACACAATAATAAGTCTCAGCTGAAATAAAAGCATAGGGCTGGCTGCAGCTCACTCACTGCTCAGCTACCTGGGGCTCTTGCTTTCCTGCCTAGAGTTGCTAAAGTAGGGCGACAGCTCTGAATGCAAAACCTACAGTGACAGGGAAGGCTAGGGCAGATGGATATGTAGGACTGGAGCCATGGATGGGATAGCCTGCAGTATGGACAGGTGATTACAGGCAATAGAATCTTTACTAATTTGAAAAAATGTCTGCTTTGCCTATGAGGTGTCTCAAGCGTCGTGTAGCCACAGGTGTCACCAGCTCACCAAAGAAGGCTGCAGGCTCCAACAGAAAACCACGGCAAACCCCTGCTTAACCACCAAACAGATGCTGACCTCCCCTGTGCAGGTTCAGCTCAAGGCAGCTTGTCTTTCCTTCAGTCTGAAGTTCAGGAGCACATTTCAGTCCTTTCAGATATGTAAGTTTTTGAATTTTATTTAAACACTAAGAACTCCAGCTCAGAGGCACTGTTGACACTTATTGTAGCAGAGATGTGAGAGCAGGGAAAGATGAAAACAATATATTAAACTAGGTTTAAGAGCAGCTTCAGCCTTAAGGTTGTAAGTTTACTGGCAGTGGTAAGTAAATTATTCCTGGAGCATTCCCTGGGGAAAAGACTAGGGAAATTAATTAGTTACCAAAAAATCAAGTGTAACGTTACTGCTTTTAAGTGAACAAAGATAAAGACAATAAAACAACCTCTGACAGCCATTCTAGAGTAGCTGAGTTTGACTGTTCAGGGGTGATTTATCTACACAATGGGACTGTGAAAGAGAAATCAGATTCCTAAATTTCTGGCAGTAACTGAAGCACAAACCCATCTTCAAGCCTTGGGGAAAAGAAGTCCTCATGAGGGATTGGACCCACACAGCCTTTCAACAAAAAGCAACAAGCACAAGGGGAAGAGATGTTTCTGATCAGGCACTGCAAGAACCAAGGCCAGAATGGTAGGAACAGCATTAATAGAATTAACACTGGACTTGAAGTTCCAGGTAAGCTTAAAGCTGGTCTGAAACATTCTTCAGGTGCTGCAGCAAGCGGCTGATCAGCTTCTCCTCCTCTCTGACACACTCGGCAGATGTGACAGCTGTCACAAACTGTTCCTCCCCTGCCCCCACTATTATAAAAAGACTGGAGCAGACATCCGCCTCATGCAGACGGTAGGATCTGTTCTGTAAATTAGAGGAACAAGGCAAAGCCTGTGCTGTGACACACTATCGTTTTTACTGTTACCCCAACAGCAGCTGACCAGAACCAGCCGAGACGCGCAGGTTTTGTGCACGAGTTGACAAACAACACTTAGCTTATCTCGAAAAGAAACTTGAGCACTCCCTTGGCAGATGACAGAGCTGTAAATCATGTTATGTATAGCCCTAAAAGTATCCTCAAGACAACTTGAAATAGTTAGTTTGTATTAGATAAGAAAAATTTTGGCTTGCAGCTGTATAGACGAAAACATCTTACAATTGTGTGCGCATTTTGTATCCACTTGAAAAGCCCCCAGTTGTGTTTCAGAAGGGCTAAAGGGTCTATTAAAAGCATCCCCGAGAGCTTTAAACTCTCAAGTTGAGAAGTTATCTGTAAGAACTTAAGGTCTGAAGCTGAACTTCATTTGCTTACGGATGTTTGCTCCTCTGTCATATTCTGGTTTCATGGCATAGGAGTGTTCACAGTCTAGGGTGTGAGCGGCATGAAACAGTGTGGAACATGGTCAGGTGAACTGTCACACAGAACTAGACAGTCTGGACTCCCCCCTGGGGAGGGGGAAGCATCTGAAAACAAATCATATTTATAGGGTTGGACTGTTTTGGTTGTGCAGCAGGGAGCTATTTCTGAGTTTCATTCCTTGGTATTTAAGATTTGCATCACTTTCACTGGTATAGATTACCTATTTTCTGTTTAACTATGAGCTTGAGGTTTGCCAGCAGAAGGGCAAAGAGTCGGAAACTTTAAACAAGGGAGTTCTCTGGGCATGCATTTGTCTTGTTCTCTCTGCTCCAAACAGTATATGAGATATCCACCTCAATTTTAACTTAGGAAAGAAAATCAATACATGTCACTGAAGAACATGTAGTACAAGTAGGACAGAGAACTGAGGGTGTTGGAATCAATGACTCTCTGAATGCTGTTATCTGAAATATTGTCACATGGTAGAAACTGAGCAAGAGCAGAATATTTACCCAGACTTCTTCCCTTGTCCCACATCCATATTTCATCCTCCTTCCCACATGTTTAAGCTTATGTAAAATTGAAGGCCCCAAACTAACCAAGCAGAATATTCTGTGATGGTGGGTCATCACTCCAGCACTACAATTCAGCGCTGCAGAAGCTCTTTCCACGGCAGTCTCCTGAGCCCTGCGTTGTGGCAGTTACTGTTCTTGATACAAACCAGATCTGATAGCTCCACACTCCAGCTTTTCCTCTGGCTAAAGGATGTTCTTGTTGCTTTCTAGCAATTTTAAGTGACTTGTTCTTTTTAGAGCAGCTTTGACAAGAATGGGTCTTACATGAGAAACATGCAAGAACTGAGTCAGGGATGGGAGAAAAAATAACCTCTGCAAGCTGGGTTGGAACCGAAATTCTAGGCAACAAGGTCACTCCATCCAGGAAAGGTTAGTAGTGCTCTAGCTGGTGTGAGAGCTGCTGTCAGGCAGAGTGGGCCATGCTGAGCAGTTCCTTTCAACCCCACGGGCCAGCTGTGGAAAACAAGACAGAATGGACTGGCTTCCTGCAGAGCCTGCTAAGCCAGAGAGAAAGCAATCGAAACTCATGGACAAAACAAGTGGTTTGATGCTAACTTTAGTAAGTAAAGTTTTCCAGATAAAGGCAATTGCATCCATATTTAACAGCTGTTAAAGAGATACACATTTAATTGCATTATATAAGGAGTGCTTTATATTCAAATGAAAACATTTCAAGTGTGTTAGTTCTACCTGTTTGGAATTCAGACTTTCTCCCTAGAAGATATTCCAGTTGACAAAAAGGGCCTTGTTCAGATATCTGGGATCAACTGAATACATTTATTTAAAAGCAATTTTAAATATTAAAAAAGTAGAAATTAACACATACAGTACTCAAAAACTGTCACATTAAATACATGTGAATAGACATGTGTACTGATGTTTTACCTTAACATTCCATGAGAAGTCAAGATTTTAACTAGTGGCATGACCAGATCTGATTTCTGTACATGTTGATGTACTATGTAATAAAAAAATAAATAGCAACTGTTGTTCAACAGTAAATAAGACATCATCTGCAGAGCAAACTTCCCCCTCTGGGGGCACCTTCCCCTGCCCCTCCCCCCAACCCTTTATCAGCTAATTTTCCATAAAGATTTAGACTTTCCAAATACTATGTCATATACAAAATTGCAAACAGTGGCTCATTGAGTTCAAATATAATACTGTACTTAAACTCAATCAATATCATACATTTTCAGATTTCTTGTGACCCACAATAAGCCAGAATAAACAGAACTATTGTTCCCGATGGAACTCATTTAATTTTATAAAATGCATATGTATACTATTTTAAAGAGCGTAGAAAAGAATAGACATTTGACTCTACATAATTTTACATGCCTAGGTTTTCTTTATATGATTTGCATTTATCAGTTTATTTCAAGATCACTTAAAAATACAATTGACCACAAAAGTGAATAGGTTTTGTTCTTTAATGCGACTTAAAACATTGTAGGAATGGATAAAATTGAATGCTAAATAAATGCTAAACCTGACTTTCTTTCCATAAAAAACAGAATAAAGTCTGAAATACTGGAGCTGGTAATACTGAAGATTAGATGCCAGCAGGCTCGCTCACTCATTGCATATTTTTTTTTTTTTGAAATATTTTTTTTTATAAATGATAAAACCATTAACAGTTGATAAATGATTTGCATTTTTTTTCCATGTGGGATTTAGACTGATATTTGTTTCTAAATTAACCACAAACAGAATTAAATATTCACTGACTACAGTCTTGTAAAACTGTATTAGAAATGAAAGCTCTCAGAAAGTCTGAGATATGCTTTTATGAAATGAAAATCTTTCCATGCAGCCAAGACAATCTGCTTTGAAATAGCAGCACGAGGTACTGAAGCCAAAATAACATTTAAAGCAAGTAATACAAAACTACATATGAAAGTCATGGAACCTGCTACAGACAAACCATGGGAAAAACACAATCACATGATGTTTCAAAAGATGAAAAATGATGTTGAAAGTGACACAGGAAATTAAAGTTTCCAGTAATATGTTGAAGTGTTTTCTGGCAATGCAACTTTATACCAACTTTCAAGAAACTTCAGGTCAAATGCAGCCTTCCAAAGATTTCGTTAGAAATTAGCTTTATAACAGCATGTCTGTTACTCGGTGCTTTGAGTTACAACTATTACTGTCACAGTTTAGTGAACTCTATGAAAACCAGCCTGATACTTGTGATCTGAGCTCTATCATTAACAGCCTGATCAAATGCACGAGAGGTCATCTTAGCTTCTGCTTTTGAGAGCATTAAAAATAATTTAAATTTATACTTATATCACCACTTAAAAAATTTATTTTAGGTAACTAACTTTTAGCAAGGTTGAAGACAGAGGAAAAAAACCCCACAAAATCATTTTTCAAAGAGCCAATTTAGCTATAAACAAATACTGTTGCAAGCTCACATTAATCTGAATAGCAATTAAGTTAAAATGTTCTTTTCCTCAAATGTAGCTATATGACTACAGTACTACTTTTGTACAAAGGCAGGTTTCAAGTAAGCGTCTAAATGCATGCACAATGTCAACAGTTAACATTTGCTAGAAGTCCTTGGTTACTAAGAATTCAGTGAAAAAACCCAGCAAATTTCACATTTATCTACTAAAGAACAATATGACTAATTTTCATTAAAATAAGTTTTCAGATGAAATAAATTTGTAACTTTTTATAGTGAGGTAATATCACAGGGGAACTGCAATCACAGTTTGGCATAGGTTCACATAATATAAACATGAAATGCTGTATGCACACTGTAAAACATTACTGTTATCTGTAAAGTCAGTGAATATTTGTCTTCATAATTACACTTAACTGAGCACTATATTAAATAAATATCGAAGTGGGTTTCATAGCTGTAAACTGCATACACTTATGAACTGCAGACTGATTTTTAAATTGTCCAAAACCATTCACTCATCTTAACTTTTCTGCTAAACTGTATATTGAGAATACCAAGTTATTAGGAACAGTCATTTCTGTACAGTTACAAGGTTGACGGAGACCACCTATGTTGGAAAGCTGGCAGTCCATACGTGTGGGACAGCACGGACAGGGATGTAAGTGCTGGATGCCGAGGATGGCTTCAACAAACCCAATAAGGCGTGCCAGGTTCCAAGGCTACCATAATACTGGCAAAGGCAGAATAACACAGTATATTTACAATACATATAATTCAACCTCATGAGGTGAAACTTAAATGAATTCTTAATTTGTAACAGCAGCTATATATACAACTGTGCACAGGATTACAGGGAGGCAGCAGCGTTCGCTTTTGCTAAAAAGCCCGTCTTGCATGAAGAATGTGCAATGCTCAAGTTTAGGATTTGTTTGTTTTTACTAGTCTGACAGAATGTGCACAAAGGACACTGGAAAGACCCCTTTCCTCTCTGGCTGTCCTTCGATGTAGCCAATCTGCAACACAGGAGAAGAATGTACAAATGTAGATGTGCATGTGAACACACAGACTTCATAGATTGCATTTACTTCATTCAAAGCAGCAGAACTGCTCGCAGAGCCTTTGCAAGCCCTTGGACAGTTTGAAGCAGACCTTAGTTAACATTCGAATTTGTGTAAAGGAACAAAATGAAACTGCACAAGTATACATAAGACAAATTAAGCCAATTAAATCTAAAGAGAACAAAACTCCATCTTTTTTTTTTTTGGAAACTTACACACAAACTCAGCGAACTTAAAGAATCTCACCAAAACTGAAGTCTGATTTTCTTTTGTCTGATAGGCTGAGTTTCAGTAACATCTCTGAAAACCATTTATCTTAGTTAACTGAATAAATCCTGAACATCTTACTGATAGGAAATGTCTGCTGCAGTTGTGAAGTTAGTTATGATAATCTGCATGTTTCCCTTCAGGTGATAAAATCCCAGTTGTTTTCTTATTGAATTAGCATGATACCTAATGATTTAGGTGCATACTAGTTTTCATAATAAATCACAGTACTGTCTGATTAAGTATCCTTCATGTACAACTTCTTACATGTTTTGCATAATGATAATTTATAAAGAAATAGTTAAGAAACTTATTTAAAGAAATAAAAAAATAATAACATAAGAACTTTCTACGTTTGAAGTGCATAATCACAAACAACTTTCAAACTGATAACAGTGGAGTAGCAGTTCTGACTGACCACATAACCCTCTTCTCACCCTGCTACAGTGCTGCTCACTGCTTTCAGAATAATGGTGTACCTCCTTCCTCTTCCACAAGTTTAACAAAATGGGAAGGGGAAACATGCAGGGCTGGCCATTTCCTCTTGGAGAGCCAAATTTTTGAAGCATATGAGTCAACAGGCCTCGTTTCCCTTCTCAGAAACACTCAGACTGGAGCGCCTCATGGAACTTGTCAGGCGTGTACCCAAGGGTCCTAAAACAGATTCAGCAACTAATGCAATGGTAATCAGGGACTGGATGATATGGATAATAGCAGCTTTTGATACCAGCTTTTCAGCTGAAAATCTTCCATACTTAAATGATGAGTGAGAGGAAAATGTGTAGTTGGAAACAAAACACCAAAGGTTATGCTGCACTTAGATTAGGAAATCACAGGCAACATTGCAATTAGATTTTGTTTTAATCAGATGACATCTGTCTCATTTTCCTCAGTAACAGTTCCTCAGCAGGGAAGTACAATGCATCAGGGCTTTAGGGACATGAGGTGGAGTGTCAAGGGAGGACTGGAGCCTCCATGTGGGGTTGAGAAAAACCTGGTGTTAGCACTCAAACAATATGCAGTCCAGAACAGGGGGAGTATGGTATAAACCAGTGGCATGGGAAGGAAGAAGGCAAAGAAAATGTTATCTGCCTTTCATTTAAGGAGGAAAACTATCAGCTTACAGAATTAATTACAAATTATTTTTCAGAATTTCAGCAACTCCTGTAGGTATAACTTAACATTTCGAGTGAACTGAAGATCATTACATGTCTCATTTTTCATGAAGGGTGAAAGCATTTTAGACAGAGTAAAAATCACCACTTCTTCATTTAATGAAAGGCTAGTGTGCATTACAGGGAGGGACACGTGTAAATATGTGCTGCTATGAGCCAGCAACAAAGCCAAACCCAGTGGGGATGATTCTAGCAGACTCTCCCTGCCAGAGAAACGGGGTCTTTGCTCATATGAGTTTAAGGTAAGCGCTGGATGTTAGCTCAGGAAAAACAAAACAAAAAACCAAAACAAAATAGCAACAAACCCTTCACATTTGGAAAAAAAGGCTTTCCTATAAAAGTCATAAAGAAGTTATGTGGAACTGTGAAAGGGAGAGATACATACCCACCACTCTTGGTCCTCTTCACCAGTTACAATAATTACTTCTCCTTCAACAAATGTGAGCTCATCATCATTATCTGCCTGACAGTCATAAATGGTCTTCACTCGCCTAACTTTGTTTTTCCCCTAAAAATAGAATGAAGTTTTAGATGAAGCACATGAGGAAGAGAAAAAATATATATATATAATATGAATTTTGACTTTAAGTTGTGTTTTATTTTACAAGAAGGTGAAAACTATAGATTGCTTTCCCTGCAATTGGGAACATAAAAATACAAAAACTCTGCTTCAACAAGGATATTAAAAAAATAAAATGAAAAGTTACCTACACAGGTGTAGGTTTTATTTTTCTTACAATTCAAAACTCCCTACAGAATTTAATGTGTAGTGCTTAACACGTAGGGCTTAAGAGGGCTTAAGTAACGTTTGCTTCCTCCAGTGAAGAAAGTTTAAATGATGTTCCAGTCTACTAACACACTCTTTCTCCTTTAATACATACTTCATCAAAAAGACACTATGAATAGAAAATGAAATCCAGTCTCCTCTGAACGTTCCAAGAGAGGTAAGGGCTGAGGAAAATGCTGCATTGAAATCCCAGTATTCCTTACAGTTTTGGTTTTGGATCTAGTGCAAAAATACAGTATTCTTTGATTTCGGATCTGCTTACAGGACTGAGAATTATTTTTTGAGTGATTTTTCCATCCAAATGTTAGCATCTTCTTACTAAAAGTACCTTAATTTCAGATGGCAGTACTATTTTTTGATGACAATTCACACTCGATATTCTCACAGCTCTACCATTCTGAGTCCAAGTATTTTCTAGGTCATCCTTTGCTGCATACTGCTAATTCATTTGAAAAAGCCTCAGCCATGGACTCCTCCCCAAACATATGGTTCTGACGGCAGGGAAAAGGACTTAAATTATTTCTAAATAGAGTAAGTAAGCAGTATGAGCAGCAAAACACTCCTGCTACTTTATATTCCTGTATTTTCATACCCACACTTCTTCAAAAGCTACAGTTCCTTCTTTGAACAGAAGTAGTCAGACAACAAGAGCACAAATACCCAAGAAGAGCAGAAGGAGAAGAGAAGCAGAAGGGCTATGAAGGAAAAAGTCAGCAGGTTTAGAGGAATTTGAGCCAGAAGTAACTTCACAGAGGAAATTTCCTAGGGAGTTTTCTCTTTGCTGTTACCTACCCACTTGAAATTCCTCCATGTTTTGGTAAAAAAAAAGAAATATCCCTGTAGCTCAATAGCAGAACAGACACACACCAAAAGGCACTCACACTAATCTCAAGGTACAGGAAAACAACAATCATAGGGGGATCTAAGGAAGAAAGCAGTTAACACAACATAAGACTAAAAAAAAACATGTTCCAGACAAATGAACAGAAATACCTTAAGTTCATATGAGATCAAGGGGTTTTTTTACAGCAAAGGTTTGTTGCAACAAGAAGTCACTTTAAAGAATGCTTCCTCTCTTTTTTAAAAAGATATTCATATAATTTGAGCAAAAATCTCAACTATCAGTAGGAACTGGAATTCAATGGGAAGGGGTATTTGGGGCCATCAGCTCAAAGTCTCAGCTTTCAACTGCAAAGAACCTTTTTACAAACTAGGAGCACTTCCAATCAATCCTCCGGTGAAGAAGGGAAGCAACTACTTTTGCCAGGGAAAAATTAACTTATTCAATAAAAAAGAATAAAGAAATTTACATTCCTCTAAACTTAGAGAACTGTATGCAACTCAGTTTGCAAGAAAAATTATAAGAATTGCTCCTGGTTCCATCAGATTAGTGCCACAGATGAGATTTTAACATCATGTTCCGTTCATGGAGAGCAGCAGAATTCAAGCAGAATTCAAGCCCAAGTTGTATTTAATCGTGGGAAGGTTTAAAAAGGGATGGATCTGAAGAGAGCACATATGTTGCAGAACACAGTTTGGGGCACTGGTGTGTAAAGAAATGCAAGCAATTCCAGGAAATGTAATCTGTGACTATAAAACAAATACCACTACCCCCCATCAACTCCCTGAATCCAACACTAGTATTTATTAAGAAGAGATTTTATGCTTAACACTGAATAAAACAAGTTGCTATGATCATTAATAATCCCTCCATGCTCTTATTTACATTCAACATTTCTTTTTCTTTAAAAAATAAGTATTTTGTCTCCTTTATAGAAACCACCACACACACACACACAAAAGAACACTCAAGTGCTTAGTGTGATTTCAGAAGCACTCAGAGCAAGTTTCAATTCTCTAAAAATATCCTTTCAAATCCTTATATATTATCGGCATTGGAATTCCAACATTATATTTCTGAATGATTAATTTTCTAAAACTTTCAATAAAAAAATGTAAGCTTCTCTATTTAGTGGCTAAATAGTCAAACCCAGGAGTGAAGTACCCACAAACACTGGTGGCTGCTGTTGCAGATCTCACTGCTACTCTGGGAGGGAGCATTTCCCCAGCTTGTGCAGAGAGGATACAGCCAGAGGATGAAAACAAGGCAAGATACTTTTAAGAGGAATTCTTGCACATTAACACTTAAGCAGAAAAGAGTACACTGAACAAGAAGTGTGCATGCAATGATGTAAAAAAACCTGTGAAGATATAATAGTTTTGATCACTGCACAAAAGTGGAACTATTTAATTTTCTGCACATGTGAAAATAGCTGTTTGGAGAACACTGAATCTTTCCTCAGAGTTTTTCTGTGTAAGGTAGGCAAAGAGTTTTAAAACAAACAAAAAAAACCCAAAAACCAACCCAAACCATCTACTATTTGCTTTTTTTTCTTCTCTAATAAAGTGACAAATAGCTGGGAATGTCCAGCGTCATTTGCCTGTTTATATTTAAAAGTAAACAAACTGTACTTGCAGGCACCTCTTGATCAGATACCAGTAATATTTAATCTCCAGAACACTCAGGAAGCCCAAGCAACAACCCTGTCAGTCTCAGCTGAGACAGGAGCTTACAGGCAAGTCCATGCCAGAAGCCAAGCAGAGTGATGGCTCCAGCGTGTTCTTCCTCAGACAAGCACAAGACAGAAACTCACCCTCTGCTTTCACTGCAAGAACGGAAGTCTTATTTCCTTTTACATAAGTGCTTTGCATAGCAAACCTGACAAACAAAACTATCCCCTTTTTGATGTATTCTTCATGATGATAATCTTAAGAGAGTTCTGGAGTTTCATAAAGTTATTTCAATGTGCATATGCATGAAGAATCCTCTGTTGGAAATTGCACTGGTTAGCAAGATGAACAGCAAGATGAATTGGGGGTTCGAATCGAGTGAAGGAACCAGCTCTGTTACTACACAGCATCCAGCAATGACAATTTTGCCACTTCAGCAATATATCTGAACCTTTGTTAACCACTTAAGTACATCAACATTAAATACTCACGACAGGAACATCTACTACTTTGTCACAGTTGACTTTAAACTTTGCATCTACTGACAATAGGTGCTAACATCCCTTCTTAAAGCTTACAAAAATCAAATATATAGATATTCTAGCAATCTAAGGCATACAGAGCTGTGAGCAAAGGCAACAGAAAAAACCACCAATTCATTCAGAGTTATGACTGGCACAGATAAAATGCCCAAAGTCTCCAGTAAATCTAAATACACTGTAATGCTCCCAAGGTTATTGTTTTATGTTACAGGTATTTGTTTCAACATGCAGGAGGCCTTGTAAACCCTCAGCATTTGCTGAGGCTGCTTGGGGGTGCAAAAAGAACCACTCATTCCCTATCCCAACCCATAAATGTTATGTTGCTTTGTGTGCATATCTCAAGGGTGCACAGAAAGTCCTTACAGTAACTTCAAAGTCTTCCAAGGATACTTCCACCTAGCTGCAGTAATACCTACCATATTTATTTTCCTGGGAAGTGGCACGGGGGTTTCTGGCAGGGTATGTGTGATGTCATTGGACTCCTCAGATGCTTGCCTTTGGACGGTGTCTCTGGATTGTACATTTGGAGAAAGATCTATGGAGTGAGATTTCTGATTCGCCTCTGAGGGCTGAGGCTTCGGTGCTGCTTCTCCACCTTGAGTTTTAGCCAACAGCTCTCCTAGCTGAGGCTTTGGAGGAAGGTCCTTCATCTGTGGCTTTGGAGGTAAGTCTCCAAGCTGTGGTTTTGGTGGCAAGTCTCCTAGCTGAGGCTTTGGGGGTAGTTCTCCAGGCTTTGGGGGTAAATCTCCTACTTGAGGTTTCTGAGTTAATTCCAGAGGCAGAGGCTTTGGGGGCAAGTCTCCAGGCTGTGGTTTCTGTGGTATATCGATGGACAGTGAGGGCTTCTGAAACATTTCCATGTGCTGATGCGATTTATCTATTGAAAGATGATGACTGGTTTCTATTTTTCTTAGTGCCACTAAAACAAAAGAGCAAAACAATGTTTTTCATCATCTCATTTTAATGTTAAAGAAGTTAGGCACATATCAAAACTGAAACTATGTAAATGATCACATGGTCACTGAGCCCCATAACTGCCCATAAATCCTCCCAGTCTATGATAAAAGCAAGACAATACAACTTTATATAACCCTCATTCACTGAGGTCTCACTTAATTGCTCCTCCTGGAGGTCAGCAGTGCTTATTCCAACAACTACTAGGTGTCAATTTATAGATTATCTACTTAAAAGGAAATAAAGTAATCACTTTTTGGACTCAAACCAAAAAATATTAAATGTAATAAAATACATATTTTATAAAACAACATATAGACCCATGCATGTGACTGTAACAAAACTTCTTTTTAGTGACAATTTTTCAGGGATACAGTTGAATTCCATACCAAAAAACCCCCTGAGTTTCAGGATTAGCACCTAATATTAAAACAGATGAAGGGGGTCAGGAGAGAAAAAAGTTACAACCCATGATAAAAACAACACATTTTGACCAGAAGGAACAATTTCCTATCATATTCAGCATTGTTTTGGTATCATACTCTACCAGCCAAAATGTGGCCTGACATTTGACTATGAAAGCAACAACACTCTCTTTGGATATCACCCACTGCAACAACACTTCCATGCTATATTAATGTCTACGTATACAAAAAAGAAAAAAAAAAGAAAAAAAAAAGAAAAAAAAAAGAAAAAAAAAA